TTATATATATATATATATTTATTTTTTTTTGGCTGAGCCCTCCTTCTGTGAAGTACTCCCTTCCTGCTCCTATTTTTCTTGTCCATCTTCAACCTCGTCTTGTTTTCTTAATAGTATTTGTTTAGCATTTTCCAGCAACAACCTAAACTCAGGGTATTTCCCCAAGTCTAATATATTGAAAGGTAAAATCATAAAAGTGGTTTTTATTTGTTTGTGGTATAATTTTTTAGACCCAGATTACTTTATTATCTGCGTCCTTTTCTGACTACATTATGTATGAGCAGGATCTGCCTTTTTTCCATTTGGAATGCCTAAGGAATCTAAGAATGGGTCTTCAACTTTAAGAGACAGTTTTTTCCCCAGTTGGATTGTGTTCACAGAGAAGGAAAGAGAGCCTCTTGTTTATCATTAAAAAAAAAAAAGTAACAGCTAATTAAATAGAAACATTGTTGAACTCAGATGACAGGTTTTAAAAGAATGCCTCAGTCGCAAAAACAGAGTGATGTGGTACATGCTTCACACGTTCACCCTTAGAACACTTCCTGGTATGAGACAGTGTTTAGAGCAAAAGTAGACTCAGCAAGACTTTGTGTGGCGTGAGTAATGCCACTCCTTAATCTGCTGCTGGCATTGTGCTTAAAAGAAAAAAACAAAGGCCTTCTACCTTCTCTCTGGCACTGATTGAAAGTTTACAGTAGTCCCAACTTTTGCTGGTGCACAGTTCAAGGACTAGGGCAGAGTCTCTAACCCGAGACTCCACTCCCCACCACTCAGAATAGTATCAGGCAGTTAACAGCCTCAAATTACCCTGAAGAATTTTAGGAAGTAACTACTTAATGGGCATTAGGTTCTTTAAATCTTGATTTTAACTGTGTAGAGGTGCTGTTCCTAGAAATATTTTTGTTCAGCTGATGACATGCTTAACCAGGAAGGTGTCATAGAAAACTACGAATTGTTGATCTATCCTATCCATGCATAGTGGAGTTATATGAATGATACATCTGCTAAAGCTACAAAGATCTTACCCTACCTTTTTGTAGGGTCATTTAATTTACTTACAGTTTTGTAGCTGGGTTGGGTCTGTTTCACTAAGAAAAATGATCTGGTTTATTACCAATCTGAGCACCTTACACATGTGTATGTCATGTATATCCCTCTATCCGTCTCTCTCTCTCTCTGTCTCTCTCTCTCTCTCTCTCTCTCTGCCTGCCTGCCTGCCTGCCTATCCTGTCTGTCTGTCTGTCTGTCTTTCTGTCTGTCTATCTATCAGAAATCTCTCTCTCTAAGAAGGACAGAGCCTTTAAATAGTACTCTGATTGGAGCCTAATTAATATTTATAATCAGAGCTAAACACTTTACAGAGATTTACTAGACAATACTAAAATTAGGTCACCAGGATCTAAGTCTGCCTTATCCCCTCTTCATAATCCCTGTCAAATCTCTCTGCCTCCATTGTTTGTAATAGAGTCCTTTATTTCCTTTTGCTTGCTCTCCTGAGCTCTGAATTTCTACTGAAAGGTGCATAGCAGGGCCCAGGAAAGAGATATCTTTAATAAAGCTAACCTTGGTCTGTTCCTCTGTAGCCTTCCCAGTCTGGCTTATTTTATAAAATAGACTTAGAGGTTATTTCTATGGAGTGCTGGTAAATTTCTACAATTAGCTCTTTGAAAATATAAAAATAACTGACTTGTAGCTTTTTGATAGTTTTTGTGGTGTAAATATTCCCACAATGACTGACTTAAAGCTGCCAACGTGAGTTGGGGGAAAAATGGGCAGAGGCAGATCTTTTTTCCCCAATTATTTCCACCAAACAGATAAATTTGACATAAATAGCCTCAAAATCATAGCTTGTAGTAAAATGTCAGCAAATAATTAGGAAGTGATGAGTTTTGATATTCATTATCTTTGTTTTAGTATAAACTTACATAATTTAAAGCCTATACAATGTAATTTTTAAAATCACGGCTGTGTTTGGCAATTGCTTTTCAAAATTCCTGAAAATTTAACACACAGCTGCTGCAAACTGGTATGGACAGGCTCCAGTGTACTTCTGTGTTATAAAATTCTGGGGGAGGACCTTAATTATTAAGAAAGGGAATAAAAACTCAAAGCCAGAGAAATCAGGGCAGTTTTAAGCCTAAGCATTGGGTAAAGTGGTAACTGGGGAAATGGGTCTCAAAGTGAGAGCAGAAAGATTAAGGTTCATGAAACTGTGTGTTACTTTCCTGGGGGGTGCCATAACAAAGTACTGCAAATGGGGTGGCTTAAAGTCAAAGAAATTTATTTCCAGTTTTGGAGATGAGTCCAAAATCAAGATGCTGACCAGGGTCATGCTCCCTCTGGAGACTTCTAGGGAATGCTCCTTCTTTGCCCCTTCCAGCTTCCGGTAGCCCCAGGGATTCCTTGGCATAACGTGGCATAACTCTAATCTTTGCTTCCATCAGCACCATGGCTGTTTTCCCTCTTGTCTGTGTCCAGACTTCTCTCCTCTTATAAAGATGCCAGTCATTTGGGGCTAAGGACCCACCCTAGTACAGTATATCTTAACTTAGCAAATTAAAACTGTGATGACCACATCCCCAAATAAAGCCACATTCTTAAGTACAGTAGGGTTAGGATTCCAGCATATCTTGGGGTTAGGGGAGCCCAGTTCAGCCCATAA